CCAGCTGACCGTCGGACGATACTGTCTCTCAACGGAAGATCGTCGGCGCATTTCAGATATTGTTGGTTACGCCAGAATCTGGAACTGTAAACCAAACTGCTTCTTGTCAAGCAATTGTTTCTCGTTCACCGACTACGGTTTTTAACAACTGTGAAATTAACGTGTCTTTACCCGTCTTTACCTGTGGCTACAACATCAGCTCCAAGAAATCGTCCGTTGTCGGACGGTCAGTAAATGACCAACTTAGCTGGACTGTAGTGTCCATTCTTAAGAAATAATGAGTTCGTATTTATTACCGTTAAAATATTGTTATTTACTTATGTTCATTTGCTGTTTCATTAAAACGTAATTTGTGGATATATTTGGTGACATTCGTTTTTCTATAGAGACCTGTCACTGACGTCATGCGGTACCGGTCTATTGTGCGAGAGATGTTGACGCGTTTGCGTCTTTTAGAATCTTCCGTATAAATCCGCACCAGTAAAAAGGCCTGTATCGACCCCGGATGAAATCGTATAGGTTTTCTTTTGGGCCAGACGAGCGAAAAATAACATAACTAAAGACTTTTTTTCATATAAGATATATGATAAAACGTTTGGACTGGGTACGGCTTTTGCTGTCCTCGATCGTACGCCGGCGGCTTACGCGCCCTCGCAAACTCGGGCGCTTCCGCCGCATGACCTCTGGCCGCAAAAGCCGTATCCAGTCCATAAAGAATATTACTAGCCGATGTTGGCTAAAATAGAGCTCCGTCGCGCTTTTACACTCGTGTTTATACGTGTTTGGTTTTGAGGGGACGCAAGGAATCATGGGAAGGAAATGAACATTGTTTGTATACGCGAAATTCGAACAGGCGCACCCACTATGTAGAAATTGTGTTGTTCACTGGCAAAAAAGAAATCTAAGCATTAATTTTTATAGGCAAATGTTGAACCACAAAAATTATGTGAAGATTTTAATAAAAAGACTTTCATCTTGCCACGAAGCAGAAATATGAGATGATCTTTAGGTAAATCATTACCATAGAAAACAACGGTAGGATGATTTAAAAATAGACAAGACATGATATTTTCATAATTTATTTTATTTTTGTTATTACGGTATGAAATGTCATATTTAAAAATGAAAAAAATAATATTTAGCAACATTTCCCCCTTTTTTGCCTTTTCATTGCATCGAAGTTGTTGGTAAGATAACTATCTTTATTTTCATACGACAAATATGCCGCACTAGAGATGCAAATAAGCAGTTTCTCTTGATTCAAATACCGCAAAAAAAAAAAAAAAAAAAAAATTTGTCAAACAAATTTAATGAAGAACCAATAAAACTATCACCCGCTTCGTTTGATTGTTGTGCACGGTAGCGGTGACACGATTCATCAACTGAATATTATTGAGGGCGCAATTCTCCGAAGATCATAACATTTATGTTAATACGTTTTACGGAAATACTTTTCACTTACATAAAAGGCGGGTGATTTTATGCAAAACGCGAGTGTCGTCAAAAGAGTCCGAATACGGGTAATACCCGCATAATACAGATATACATTTGCAGGTATTAAGGAGTTCACTGGAAAAAGGACCGCTTAACCTACTACAAATTACCACGTCTGTAACGACTTGTCAGTAACAAGATCATTAAATATCCAATTTTTTTTCATTATATTTACCTATGAATGTATAGAAAAATAATCCCCTTCCCGAATCATATACAGCCCGTGTAAAGTGTAAAATCAAATAGCGCCAATGGGTTACTGAACGTACTAAAAATTGGAGACTTAAAGGGCCTCACAATTATAACGGTCTTCAATAATACTTAAATAATTCAGTCAAAAAACTGAGACATTATGGCGAGTGCTGAGTCAAAACTCCTACACGAAATCCACGAGTATTTTCTGGTCTGTGCAGTGTGCTCCGAGCGGTACAGAAATGCAAGAATTCTACCGTGTTTTCACAGCTTCTGTGAGCAGTGTGTCTGTAAGTTGGTCGATACGGCTGGGGGAAACAGTATAATATGCCCCGTATGTCGAAAAGGTCACGATCTGCGAGACGGTCTGGCGGGCATACCTAAGAATTTTTATCTCAATGAGCTCGTTGGTTTGTTCGACAAGAAGCGAAGCGAGGACGTCTCAACAGAAGCAGAATGCGGTAGCTGTGAAAAGGGAGCAGCACAGACTCGATGTCTTGATTGCGCAGTTGGGCTATGTGATGGTTGTACCCGTATTCATCATCGCTTACATATTCTGAAGTCGCATCGCCTGATGTCTCTTGAAACATACATCATTACGCGCTTCTCTCAGCCACCTGAAGTGCTGCAACCGTTTTACTGCAACAATCACCATGACAACCAGATAAAATTTCATTGTGATACATGTGATATTCCAATATGTTCGGAGTGTACTGACTTGAATCACGTTCCAAGTGATCACGACTACCGATATTTGAATTACACATCATCAAAACATAAGATGTGCTTAGAGGATATGGTAGACAGACAGCAAGAAATTGAACTGCAAGCAAATGACAGTAAACAGGAATTAAAAAGAATGTCAGAAATTCTGGATAGTCATTTGCACGAAGAAGTGACAAATTTGAATCAACACATCGAGAAAAGAATTATAGAAATCAAAGCCAAGTTCAATAAAGATGGAGATAAACTGTTGGCGGACATGAAGCGTGAATATCAATCACTGAAACAGAACTTGAAAGCACGAATTAAGGAACTTGAAGTTGCTGAGATCGACATGAAAAATGCAAGTGACTTTGGGGAGAAACTAATAAATTCAGGGAATGCTGAACAGATGATGTCAGCAAAAAGGAGAATGGCGTCGCATATAGATGGAATGATAGAAAGTAACACCGAGCAAAACCAAGCAGAAGACGGATTTGTTCAATTCAAGACAGAATATTTCCACAAAACCCAAAGCCTTGGACTAATGCGTTGTCACAGATGTAGTTCAGAACCTCCGGATGTATCCAAGTTTCAAATTGCAAGAAATGAAGAAAAAACAGTTGCCGTGACGACAAATGATGAATATTGCAGATCATCAGCTATAACGGAGACCAGATCTAAACTAAAGACATCTGACAAGATTGAACGAAAAGTGAAATCTGTAGAAAATCAAGACAGGACAATGTCTCTGAAAAATCATTTTAAAGTAGACGAAACACATAAATTGTCAGTTTCTGTGCTCAATCCACCTATTGAGAGATCACAATCACCAGCTGTGATTTCCATAATTGGTAATAAGAGTTTAATATGCAAATATGGTGTTCAGGGTATAGGCGTGGGTCAGTTCAATAATATCCTAGGTGTTAGTGTAGGTGGGAATGGGGTAACTGCTGTATGTGACCCAGGTAATCACAGAGTTCAGTTATTTTCTGTATATGGCACACACCAACGTGTTCTTCACTTCACTCATTTTACATCCGATTTCAACCCACGATATGTAGCTGTATCAAGGAATGGTTTTTACTTCGTTACAGATTGGAATAACAGACAAGTTGTCGTGTGTGACGAAAACAATAAGATAATTAGATGCTTTGGGAATCAGGAATTGACATCCCCTATGGGTATTGCTATTAGTCCTGTGAATGACAGAGTGTATATCAGTGATTACAATACACATTGTGTTAAAATCTACACGCAGGATGGAGAATACATCAAGACTTTTGGTTCTCATGGTAGTGGGAAATGGCAGTTTTCCTGTCCGTGGGGAATGACCGTCAATAACAAGGGCAATGTCATTGTGGCTGACTACAGCAACCATCGCATTCAGGTGTGTGATCCTAATGGTGTGTTCTTATTCAGTTTTGGCAGTAAGGGGAATGGTAATAATCAGTTCAATTGTCCGTATGATGTTGCTTGTGATAACAATGGCAATATGTATGTTTCTGATTATTGCAATAACAGGGTCATGAAATATGATTCACACGGTGTATTTATATCTCGTATTGATAGTGACCAGGATGCATTGCGGTACCCTGGTGGCATCGGTGTCACTGGGGATAATATATGCGGTCGCATTGTGGTATCAAACCGTGGGGATAACTGCGTTAAAGTATTTGCACAATGAAGAGTGTATCATGATGCAAATTGTTGATGTTGATACTCCGGTCCATATAAAGATGTTTTCTGATGAGCTTCCGAAGTTTTTGATTTTCATGTAATCATTTTGCAATTGTTCTGTGTCCGCGTTACAACTTTTTGATTTATTCACGTTGCGAAAAATTGTTATACTGTGTTCAAAGAAAAAAAATTATAATGGGAATTTTTTGTTTTATATCGGGTAGATGATTTTGATTATATCGAATATGATTTGATATATATCGGGTTATATTGGAGAAGATTATTTTGGTTATATCAAGAAATAATAGTGGTTGCATCACATTTCACTTATATGGGTTTATAGAATGGAAGCATATCAAATAAATTCAAGCACTGTGAGGGCGATGCTATGGATTTAGTTTAACGAAATAAATAGCGTACAATTTGAATATAACAATTTCTTTTGATTGATAGTAAACTCATTTTCAACAAATTATGAGTTTTACTGGACCATGGGGGTAAAATCTGTCTTTTACGCCGATTTAGTTTAAGCCGCCCTAAATTGACCCTAAAAGTCTCGACCGGCTCTCCGTTTTTACAGAAACGGTTTTTGCACGTGTGCACAATAACGCCGCCTTGAAAAGCATGCCCTCAATGTCAGCCTACTTATAGAGTTTCATTTCTTGCAAAACATGGTGGCCGATAACAACGCCAGCTCAGTTTAGTCTTTATATACGTATGAACACAGGACCAATTAAAACCACTGGCCCAAAAATACAATAGTACAATCATTAAATATACAATAGTTGAGGGAACACACTATATACAAGAAAAATATAATATATTCTGATAAGCGTGTCTCCTTTCTGACCAGTAAACGCGAGGTAAACAAATTTATCTGTATTGCGTATAGTGGCAACTTTGTCAGAACTCACGAGCTCGATAAGTTTACCAGGATAACAATCAGTGTGATAATATAACGGGATATATTGTTCACGTATAATTCATGGAAAGTGGGTCAAATGGTATTCGTCCTCAATGGTGTTATTTAGACACAAAATGGCAAATTTCTTTCAATTCTAGCAAGTTAAAAGTGTCTTCACGTTTCAATTTTTAAATTATGAGACGATACTCGAAGTCTGGTCAGAGCAATTGTATGTAATAAATTATCTGTATGACTTAAATATTTTTCTCGTGGAAAACTGAAGTTAGTTTAAATCTTTCATAATGGTCAAGTTTTGAGTACATCTTGATTTGTTCTTGCCAACATTGGAAATCCATGTCGTACGATCTTTGTTTAAATAATTTAAGGAATGTCGATTCGCAGACTACTACTTGATTTACCCGTGCCTCGCCAAAATCAAAAGAAAATAACGTTAATTTCAAATTACGTGCCCAACATGTTTTAATATTGTTTGCTTGGTGAAGTTGACATTTGTAGCACGCAAGAACGTAGCGATCATTAATTTTTAGAATACGTAGTCAATATTTGGTAATTTTCTCAAGCCTACGCGACCTTAAACTCGGTTGACCTACCTAACTTACCCCTAGAAGCAAGGTTTATATAGCGTTATATGGAATTTTAAGGACATATTTACAAAACTTGTGTAATATAATCGCCACATCTTTTGCTTTGTCAAATCCCTATACTTCAGATCCAAATGTTTGCTTTAAAAATAAACATAATGGTTTCAACTGACAATATGAACACCTGAAAATTTGTCCGTGAAACGTTTGCTCAGATCGTTAGTATACAACAACAAAAGCAAAGGTTCAGAATTTAAAACTACGTGAATATAACTATAGTCGCACAATGCGTTTATGACTTGTTCGCACTGGCATTAAAACAAATGGGAAATAATTTTAAACTTATAAACAATAAGAGAATATTCCGAAAGGAATGTGTTATGGGTTTAGCCTGACATGTAGGCGTGAGTGACGCCCTCGCCGGCCGAACCGCATTAGACCTAACTAACGGTTTGGGGCACCACAGAAGGCGCAACTCACGCGACATTGTCAGGGTTCAGACGCCCAGTACGCGTGTTCTTGTTTATGTGTTGCGTACTGTGTACGTGTAAACGGTGACGATGGGTACCGGTAAGACCTCCAGTTCAACAATCATGTTACTTGACGCATTTGATCCTGGAAATGGTAAATCATTCTTTGTTCAATTGTAATGACGTGCTCAATAATTTTGAATATTTTTTGGCAATGATAATAACAAGTCAGTCGCGATACATCGTGTGCATAACTGTATTTGTATTATTGGATAATTAATTAATTAATTAATTAATTAAAATTACTGCGAATAAATACTCTGCTTTCTTTCCTCAAATGTGTACCAACATTTATTTAAAAAGGTCATTCATATTAATAATTAGGTGGTATCCGAATCAAAACGAAGGATTGTGATTGGAAACGAATTCTCTTGATATAAACAGTTACAAGCGCAAATATAAGTGTTCGACTGTGGGAATGCTCGCTATTGTATAAGGACATTTGGCTAATAAAACATACTCTTGAAATAAATAAATGGTAACTTTTCGAACAAGTTCCCCAGCTGTGGTGTTTTTTGTTTGTTAAATAATAATAATGCAAAAAAAACACGGCACCAACGTCATTTTTTTCTCGTTGTATAATACTGCTCCTAGTGTGTCATATTTTTTGTTTCGGGCTTACTGGCACGTTTTCGTCAGTTATTTGCGCTGCTATCACAGCTTACTTCAATATTCCGCAGTTACCCAAATTGTGGACCCGAAACAAATAATGCAGCGCGACGACGACCAACATCAACATTGATTTTTCCGCAACCAAATGCGCTTCTCTAATGAAATCACTGCACGAGTACGAGTTTTGACAGAGACACGGCTTGCACTAATTACTGCCAGTGACTCCTTTGATACCTTCCAATAACATAAAAATACCTAGTTAAAGCTTGGAACTCGCTCTGTTTGTACTATTTGGTTTACGCAACAGGGCTCATACCACTAATTGAATTTCCATAGACGACAATGTTAACATATGACGAGATTGCTATATGAAAATGATGAACAAAGTTGAAAACATGGCTCAAAAATGGGAAATCAACATGCCAGTAATCAAGCACTTGAAAAAAACTAACATGTTGGCCAGCTCAAACTCTTGCAAATCTCAGGTAAACAAGACACACCTACTGAATTTGGATTGCACCTAGAGAAATCACTGGAAAAACACCAAGATTAGAACATCCAAATACACGCAGTAGTAAACAAAAGACCACATGTTGGTCTCACCTTTGACCCAAGTGATCACGCCCTCAAACAGGGAGCACGTGAGAAAAAAAATAGTTAAAAAATTTCATTGGTTCTTGCTAAGCATTTAAATTGAGCAGCCATTGGTTAGTGGCATGAGACCAACAGTACAGTCATAGTCGCCATCTGTGTTTAAATCGACCCATATCTCACGCATGCGTGGCCCGACCGCCCTTTAAAAATAGGTTTCGTTCATTGAAAAAAAGGGTACTGCGCATCACATTGCATTTATCGTAGTCCCAGTATTTTAAAGCAGAACTATTAAATATGATGTAATATTTTGTGCAAAAATAAACGGATTATAGAAAACTGTAACAGGCTAAGACACAGAGTGAAATAGAAATGATTATTCAAATACTTCAATTTACAAGTAACCTGTAGAATGCTGTGTGGGTAATATTTTTTATATTGATTTGTGTTGTATTTGCATTAAATATTTACCGAACAATGAGAAATCTATAGGATTGGATATACCTCTCAGCTGGCTTCACATGCATAGTTCAAGACTGCCTAACCGGTGCTTATACCAGGATTTAGTTACAGCACCTAGACGGTCTGTGGTTACAGCTTCATGTTCCGAGTAATCGCATTAAATTGACATTACAATAGAAAATAAAAGCTGGCACTCCCATGCAATTAATAGGAAATGAAATTCCTGGGATTGAAACATAGATTTTGAAGTCACTGGTATAGAAAATGAATAACTTGGCATAAAGTCGAGGTAGTTTATTTAATTAGTGCTGAACTGGAGACTGAAATTATAATTACGTTCGTTGTCATATAATTTTTTTATTTCAATTTCTCTGAAGTCAAATAGAATACACACACGAAAGGATGTTTTGGGAGGTGTAGTGTATATGGAGGGGTAGGGGTGGGTGTCATATAATTTGTTCATTCCCAACTCTCATGAAGTCACTTAGAATTTCACTTAATTTATTTTCGCTGAAAAGTTTTCAGGTTACGTGTGGATTTAATTTTCAGTGTTCTGTATCAAGTCTCAATAGAGTATGAGGGAAATGACATTTTCACTGGAATTTATTTTAGCGGAAAAATGTTTTTTTTAGTGAAAATGAAGTATTCCACATTATTATACATCTGTCACCGTAAAATATAGGTAAGGCTCTGTCAAAATTTGAAAGAGCAACTAATATTCTTTAAACTAGTATTTATTTATAGATTTAATTTTTCATTCTGTTCGTGAGCTCGCTGGAGCCTTCATCCCTTGTCTATTTCTTACACTAGATACCAGCCTATACCCCCTCCCCGCTCATATGGAGTGCGTACAGTCTCAGATCTAAGGTACAGTTGATTATAGTTCCTGGGCTCCCTGTGTTTCAATCCACGGCTAGCAAGCAACATCACAAGCGAAGTTGTAGCGCGCAGCTCAGCTACGACCGCTGTCGACGAAAGTCATCCCGTCAGTGGAGTGCCGCAGTTGCACGGCATATTTGCCAATGCACAATTCCATGGAGGAACTGATTCGGAACAGTTCACCGAGATCGGACGGCTACCTATCGTGCCAATCCTTCACCACTGAATTCAAACGAATCACGTGGTGTGCTGTTACATTTTCAAAGGCGTGATTCAACTATTAGGGGCGTTTCAGTAAAAAACAACAACATCGCAATGCATGCAAATTCAACATTTTCAAACCAGTATACTAAAACAGAAATGTTCAGAGATACAAAAGAAGGATAGATATTGCTTTTCAGTATACACGTCTCTGTTGACACAAACCTTCACATATTCTACTCCCAATTATTCCTACGTAAAATGGAATAGCCTCTTTCCATGTAAACACTCTTAGTAAAATCACGTGATAGGCTGTTAACATGTGCTGTTACATACTTTTCCGCCGGTATGGAAAATGTGTTTAATTAGCTCTCATTCAAGCAACAATGCAGATTTCCCAGTGAGAGTGAAACTGGTTCGATTCTGCCATTAGAATAAAGGGGAAATTTCAGCAAAAAACAAATAACCCTAGAATGCATACAATACGCTGGACTTCGGTACAAATCTCGCATTAGTTACAACAGCAGAATACCACACTATATATTGTATATCGGCCTGAACCTCTCTGTTGCAATTCCAGAAATTACCCCCATATGTACAACCATTTTCCACCTTAGTATCACCCACCCCCGAAAAAAACTCTTAATACCACGCTGAAACGTTTGGTAAAAATTATTATTTGTTTAATTCAGTTATTTGACTATGATCATGGAAAAACTCGTACATTGGTCAGTATTTTGTTTTCGAACAATGTCAGTTAATTAGTTAAACTCGGCATTCTTATTAGAACTACTTTAGTTGTTTTACACACATTTTACTAGACATATAACCAATTCAATAATTGTGCTTGTTAATTTGAAAATTCGTGTTTAAACAATCATAATATAATAATGACGGTTAACACGCGAAGAGTAGTAACCGAGCTGGTATCCTTGTCCAGTATCATTCTTCTGCATCATCCAAAATGTCGTCAAGACGTTTCCTGGCAATGGCTTCTTTCTCTTCCAATTCTTTCAATTCTAACTTTGTCTTCAGATATTCTTCTATGACATCATATTTACCATCTCTATAACACAGAAAGTTAAAGTGAGTGCGTGAGAGAGTGAGTGAGTGAGTGACTAAGTGAGTAGGTGGTTTGCAATTGGTGATTGAGTAGTCAGTCAGTCAGTCGGGTAATTCGTGAGCGTACGTGCGGCCTTGAAAGAGAGCCTTAGAGAGCCTTAAGCAAAATATCAATAGTAATGTAGAATTTGACATTACAGTTAAAGAACATATTACTTCTTGTTCCACCTTAAATTATACGACTGTGTATCACAAATTATATTATTATAATGGGTTATTATATTTCGTCATGATATCTGCTTAGATTAGAGTTGCCCATCGTAAATATATTTTTGGCTCATTAATTAGAAAACTGAATCACTTCCTGACTCATTCTCTAAGAAACCTTCTTTATTGTCAAACAGTATTTTTTGATGTCATACAGGAACTATCTACATATCAGATTATATTAGCTAATAGATCGAACGTATCAACGTACCTATCCATTTCCCTATTTCTTCTTCTTCGTGAACTAGGGATCCCATTGGCAAGCGTCAACACCAGCAAGGCACAGAACAATAAACTCCACACTTTTAGGCTTTTCATGGTTTCTACAAAACGAATGTAGTAGTACAAACATGTTTTGTAGAATTGTATAGAAGAGATTCGGGTGGATAGAGATAACGGAGGCGAGATAACAGTGGCTTGAGCAAGTAACGAGGTTTATTACACTAACATAAAACCGCATCTGACAAGTACAAGGACAATTTCTCAATTTATTGGGAATGGTGCATTCTTGAATTTAGGCGGGAAGAGGATGCATTACATGTTTGTAATAGGTCAATAAGGAAGAAATCTGATTGACTAAAATATATGCGTTGTGATAGGCTGAATCTTTTGTATGCAGAATCCAAAAGTTGCATTAAGCTCGAGTGCTTATAATGATTCCCGATACATGTGTCATGAATTTGTTTTCGCGTATCTGTTGGTCGACTTAATTAACTGATTATTAGCGAATTGCTGTGTTATGTCTGTCATCGTGTAGGCCTATTTGAAATTTTGGACAGAACTTGGCTCAGTGATTTGGAACTAATTATGAGATAATCGTCGCCATTTTGACAGTTTATATTCATAGTTATTAATGTAGTGAACGATTAATCAAAAGATATGACGTATTCAGTACTTAGTGTGATTGGCTTTATGATTGAAGGTTACGCCCTAGAGTCTTTTACTGTTTTGTAATTGGTTAGAGTTTTGAAAATGAATAAAGAGAGTTTGAGTTGGTCTTGGCGAATACTCCACGACAGACGCAGTCCGAGAGAGTCCAGGGGCGAGCCTTGAGGCAGTCCAGTCTTGGGCGAGTCTTGGTTCAGCCTTGTGAGAGTCTTGGGGACTTTTCCCCAGGGCGCTGTGTCTTATAGAGTGCTCCAAAAGATCGACTAAGACGAGAGCTGAAACGTATTTCGTTGTGTGCGTCTTATTTGACTGTAAAGTATAAGTGACTTTCCCGATCCCATACCTCAAGGGGACGAGATAGAGAGACGAGACGAGTTTCCCCCCTGGCAAGTGTGGAGACCCCGAGAGAGAAGATTTTCCCCCTGATACGTGGTGGAGAATCCGGGCATTGCGTCTTACGCACATTGACATCCTGTGAAGAAAAGTGAATGGCGAAGGTGTGTCTTTCTTGCGAACCGAACTAACTGGCTCGATGGCAGAGACGAAACCGCGCTCAACGACTAACACCGTTAACAGTATGGCACCGATGAACGATGCTGAAGAGATGAAGACCTCTGAACCCCTTATGAAGGATGAGTACCGGATAGGACAGTATAATTAAGAATTGAGCGACATTAAAGACAAGAAGATGAAAGAACGACCCGGACTAACGCGACGACAAGAGAAGAGACGCTTATAGACTTTGATTAGAACTTTAGCTATCTGTGTATTGCTTAGAGTACTGCTCGCTGGACACTGTAACTGACACTGTGTAACTCAGGACGTTGAACCCTTTTTCACAACCCTAACCCTATTGCTCAGTAATGTAATGTATTGCTTGCTTTTCCTATTGTTTTACCGTTTCTTTTAGTGATGTTGAATTGTATGTATGTGAGCGCCCAGATCTTTGTTTTAAACTGATATTTAGTGACGTGCGAGGTCCTTTATAACGATTTAAGCGCGTTTCAGTGGACAAGTATTTGCAACACAGTGTTTTGAGTTTTGTGAAGTTTGATGGAGTTTTAATGAGTTTATGAGTACGGTTTTAAGAGTTGTTTTTGTTTATGTGTTGTTTTCCGGAATACTTCTGACGCTTTTTGAGTTGATAGCACCTTTGTAACGTTTTTTAATGTCTTTTTGAGATAGGAGTGTGGTGCGCTTATATGCGTATTGTTTGATATCGCAAGCTTTTGTTCATGATTGACAGGATTATGTGTAACATAGTAGTTTCTATCGTTTTAGTCTTTTCCCCGTCTTTTTGCCAGAGGAGTAATGTGTTATGAAAGCGAATTTGTCTTTGCATTCTGTTTCCACGCCGTATGACTTTTGTTTAGATTAACGACTTGTGAGTTCAGTTGAAGTTTATAAGCGTATATGACAGGAGTTTGATTAATAGCTTGTTTATTCATTGTTTATTAGTTACCGCTTTGCAATGCTTTAACCGAGAGACGCATCCCTGGTAATCACGTGATCAAGCTGTCGACTGCAGCGATTGGCTGATCGCATGGTTACACCGCCACGCCTTAGTTTTTTGACCTTTTGATATAGAGTTTGTAACCTTAGTAACGGAGAAAGTGTAGCAAAGGGTTAACTCAGCGAACTGTTTGAGAAAAGTGAGTCGTTTGGTAGCCTTTCCCTTGTTTTTGATTTATAACCGTTGATATTTGAGACTTTATAACCATTGTATTTAGACTTATAATCAGTTTATTAATTAGTGTGTTTTACTCTTTTTGATTTATACCTTTTATTAGTATTGTATTTAACCCGTATGACGATGAGTGGCAAACGGTATCTTTGATTTGTGAACGTGCAATGCCAAGAGGCATATCTCAGTTTGGGTGAAGGGATGTGTCATGAATTTGTTTTCGCGTATCTGTTGACCGA